GAAGTACATCCATCGTCCGATCGTGCTGCTCACCGTATCCTGCGTCTTGTAGTAAGTCAATGGATTGTTGTCCGTAACCCATGTGAACCTACGACGCCCAAGGAGGAAGTGCCGCCATCGCTTGAGAGCCATGACGAATGCGAGCAGCTCCTTCTTCCTTGCATCATCAAGCGAGTTGATGGGAGGCACTTTGTGGCTGAAATACTCCACAGGGTGCCAGTCGTCGCCGTCGTGTTGTTCCAAGACTGCCCCAATGCCGTAGCCGGAAGCGTCCGTAGTCACTCTCGTCGGCAGGGTGGGGTCATAGATGCTGAGGACGGGTGCCATGAGCATGGTCGTCTTAAGTGCTTGGAATGATCGGCGTGCATCGTCATCGAACACGAATGGCACCTTTGGCGATTGTAGTCGCGTCATAGGTGCAGCAATCCGTGAGTATCCGGTGATGAATCGCTGATAGTAGCCCGCCAACCCCATGAATGAACGAACGTCCGTGGTGTTGGTGGGCTCGGGCCATACTCGTAAGGCCTCGATCTTGTCCGCAAGCGGACGGATGCCTTGCGGCGTCACATAATGTCCCAAGTACTCCAGCTCCTGTCGTGCGAATTCGCACTTGTCGCGGTTGGTCTTGTACTTGGCTTGTCGTAGCCGCTCCAAAACAGTGCGCAGGTGTTCCACATGCTCCTCCAAACTCCGGTTGTACACCAGGATGTCGTCGAGGTAGATAAGTACGTATCGATCCAGCATGTGTCGGAACTCCGTTGTCATAGCCGCTTGGAAAGTGGTCGGGGCATTCGTAAGGCCAAATGGCATAACCAGCCATTCGAAATGCCCATATCGCGTCTTAAATGCGGTCTTGTAACGGTCCTCCTTGCGAATCTCGAGTTGGTGATATCCCGACTTGAGATCGAGCGCCGCCCAGTCGCTCGAGAAGATCGTCGATGCGTGGGAGAGGGCCGGCGTTTCTGATCGTCTGCGCATTGAGCTTGCGATAATCGATGCACAACCGCAAATCCTTGTTCTTCTTTCGGACAAAGAGAACAGGAGCACCGTATGGCGATGAACTAGGCCGAATCCAGCCTTTCTCCAGAAGGTCGTCGAGTGTGCCCGAAGCACACTTAACTCTTCCTCGCTCATTCGGTAGATGCAACCTCGCGGAGGTACGGCCCCGTCCTCGAGGATGATCTTGTGGCGGATGGGTCGATCCGGTACTACTCCGTGCGGGCCTTCGAACACGTCGCTGTAGGCGTTGAGAAGCTCGGTGATGCGTGGATCCAAAGGTGAGTCCGTCGATGAAGCGTCGTGGGGCGGGAGGGCGTGGAGAAAACACACCCCCATCTCCTCGATGTCGTCTCTGATGATGGAAGCTCGCATGCTTGCAGCGGATACCACGTGGCAGCTGATCGAAGGATGAGGAAGAGGCACCGTGCATGGAACTAGTACTCCGTTCCGATCACGAATGTGAACGGTGCGATGGAAGAAGTTCACCGGGTGATCCTCGCTTCGCAGCCATGACATGCCCAAGATCATGTCAAATTTGGTGTCCGGAATGTCAAAGGACACCGCCTCACTTGCGTGAGGGGCAAAGTACACTGGGACGTTGTCAATGCACCGGTCGATTGACTTGTGCGTGTGACCGTCCGCCAACGTGACTTGCGTAGGCTGGGACTTCCTCCGGACGCGTGGGTCAAGGCCGGCGCGCACCATGAAGTCCTGGCTGATGTAGTTGCGAGATGCTCCGCAATCGATCAAGGCATTGCAGGTCGCCTCTCCGGTCTAAATGCGTACATATAGCAATGGTGCGTCGATGTCGTCGTACCGTTGCATCTTGAACTCGCGGTCGATCTTCGCAATGTAAGCGTGAAGGTCGACAACCTCTACTCCGGCGTCCATCAACGGAGCTGGTCCTGCAGTGTGCAAGTACTCCCGCAGTTGTGCCATGAGCACATTGCAATGCGGTTTCGGCAATCGTCCGGTCGGGGAAACGGGCATCCATTGGAAGTCCGTGAACGTCAGTGGGTCGAGCACCTCAAGTCTTGACCGCGACAATGAATCCCCGACGATAGATGGCGGCGAAGCTGCCGAATCGGTTGCCGATGGTGATGAAACCGTGCATGCGGTAGATTGTTGCACGTGGAGCGGTTGGTCCAGCGGTGGAACCAAGTGGACAGCATAGTCCTCGTAAGTGTAACGAGAACCTGCGACATTTGCATCCTCCCCAGATGTGCAGGAGGCCGCTAGCAAGGCGGCCGAATCTGGCGGAGTAGAAGGTGGAGTCGCCTCACCTTCCGCGGAACTCAGTTTCCCAAGTTGAGGCGGGGTCGCACATCCTCCTTGCCCTGATCCTGGCACAGGGAGGTCTTGTGCTTGGTGTTGTTGCACCAATAGCAG